TTTTGTTTTGTTTGTTTGTTTTTGGTACTGGGGATCAAACTCGGGACCTTGCGCTTGCAAGGCAGGTGGTGGAACCACTGAGCTAAATCCCCAGCCCTATAATGACAGTTTAACTTCTTCCTTTCCTACCTCTATTCCTTTTATTTCTTTTTCTTGTCTAATTGCTGTGGCTAATGTTTCCAAAACTATGTTGAACAGGAGTGGTGATAGTTGACATCCTTGTCTTGTTTCTGATTTTAGTGTGAAGGTTTTCAGTTTTTCACCATTTAGTATGATGTTAGCTGTTGCTTTTTCATAGATAGCCTTTATCAAGTTGAGATAAAGCCCATCTATTCCAATTTTCTGCAGGGTTTTCATCATGAATGGGTGTTGAATTTTGTTGAATGCTTTTTCTGCATCTATTGAGATTATTGTATGGTTTTTGTCTTTGATTCTGTTAATATAGTGTATTACATTTATTGATTTACATATGTTGAACCATACTTGTATTCCTGGGATAAATCCAAGTTGGTTAGGATGTATGATCTTCTTGATAACCCTCTGTATTCTGTTTGCCAGTATCTTATTGAGGATTTTTGCAGCTATGTTCATTAGGGAGATTGGCCTATAGTTCTCCTTTTTGATTGGATCTTTCCCTGGTGTTGGAATCAAATTAACACTTGCTTCCAGGAATGACTTCGGAAGTATTGCTTCCCTTTCAATTTCATTGAAAGGTTTAAAGAGCATTGGCAATAGTTCATCTCTAAATGTTTTGTAGAATTCAGCAGTGAATTTGTCAGGACCTATGATTGTCTTTGTTGGTTAATTACATTTTCAATTTCACTGATATCCTCTGGATTTCTGCTGGAACTAATAGAGTGAAAGTGGCCATACTTCCTAAACTGCTATACTGATTCAATGCAATCCTGATTGACATTCCAACAGTGTATTCCACAGAACTAGAGAAAACAATCCAAATATTCATGTGGAATCAGAAGAGACTTAGAATAGCAAAAACCATTCTAGGCAACCGAGATATGGCAGCGGGTATCACAATCCCCAACTTGAAACTATACTACAAAGCCACTGTGTTAAAAATGGCATAGTACTGGCAAAAAAACAGACCAGAGGATTAGTGGAATAGATTAGAAGATGTAGAAACAACTCCATATGTACTCAGGTACCTCATCTTTGACAAAGGAGTCAACCATCCTCACTGGAGGAAAGATAGCCTCTTTAATAAATGGTGTTGGAAAAACTGGATTTCAGCTTGCCAAAGATGAAAACTAGACCTCTATCTTTCACCATGCACTAAACTAAAATCAAAGTGGATTAAAGATCTAAATATTAAAACAAAAACACTAAACTTATTGGAAGATAGGTTAGGTAGAAGACATTCTCTACCTCATATGTCTCAAAGACATTGGCATAGGAGAAGACTTTATGGACAAATCCTCAGTAGCATGGGAACTAGCACAAAGAATCAACTGGGATTTCATCTTTTTAAAAAGCTTCTGCACTGCAAGAGAAGCTATCAACAGAGCTAAGAGACAACCTACAATGTGGAAAAAAATTTTTACCAGCTGTTCCTCAGACAAAGGTCTACTACCTAGAATATAAAAAGAACTAAAAAAAAAAAAAAAAATCAGTCCTCCCAAATATAAAGGTCCAATTCAAAAATGGGCATCTGAAATGAATAGACATTTCTCAGACAGAGAAATAAAAGCAGCAAATAAGTATATAAAAAAAATGTTCAACATCACTGATCATTTGAGAGATACAGATGAAAACAATGCTGAGATTCCACCTCAACCCAGAAAGAATGGCTGCTATCAAGAAATCAATCAATAACAAATGCTGGCAGGTGCGTGGGAAGAAAGGAATCCTTCTTAATTGTTGGTGGGAGTGCAGACTGGTGCAACCACTGTGAAAATCAATATGAAGATATCTTACACAACTAGGATTGGAAATCCCATTTAACCCAATTATTCCCCAGCTGGGTAGCTTCCCAAAAGAATTAAAAGAATCATACCACAGCGATATATGCTCACCCATGTTTACAGAGACACAGTTTGTAATAGCTAAAACTTGGAAACAGCCCAATTGCCTATCAACTGGAAACTGGATAAAGTTTTTAAAAAAAAATAAAATGGAGTACTACTCAGCCATAAAGAACGAGAAACTAGAGACATTTATAGCTAAGCTGATGCACACTGAGGATATACTCTTAAGTGAAATTAAGAGGACACAGATGTGTAAATACCATATAGTTTCTCTGGTATGATAAACTAAAAGTGTAAATGAGGGTCAAAATGTATAATTGATATTTTGTAATAAGAAGAAAAGGTCTAAAGGTATTGTGCAAATGGGAGGGGTAGGGGAAAGAGAAAAAGGGAAGAGAAAAAATTAGAGAAAAGGAAGAAAATGGAAACAAAGTCTTTGTAAATAGGGAAGGGTAGAGGGGAAGGAAGGCAGGGAAAAAATAAGAACGAAGATATGTCTTATAAAGGAAAAAGATACCAATGATGAATGTAACTGTATTGTATATCTAAAATGTACCAGTAAAGATTCAGTTTGTAAAAAAAAAAAAGAAAAAGAAAAAGAAAAAAATAAGACCAGGGTCCTAATCTCTAGATTTCAACCCTTACGTTAACATATAGATATGGGCTCATGTTTTGTATATCCTATTTCTGGGCTGTGGTTTCTGGAAATTAGAGCCGTGTTCTGAGAGGAATATTGCACCAGGGGAACTGAAGAGAAAAAAAACAAAGCAAATCTCTCCTCTTTGTAGTGGATCTTACTGTAGTGGATCTTTTAGTGGATTTTCATGGACACTAGCTGGCATGGTTCTTGCCCATCTCTCGAGGAGGATCCTAACAATGACTCATGGGGCCTGAGACTCACTTGTGGTTCCAATTAACTCTAGAAACTTAAATGCATTCATTTGAATTTATATTTAAAGTTTTTCTCCCCTAGTGCTTGTTTTCTGGAAATGTAATTTGGTATTTGGGACTGCTTGACAGAGTTCGGTGAAGTATATATGTTTCAATACCATGCTTCTGGGAAGAAAGGTTCATTACAACCAGAACTCTAAGCTGTGGCCAACAGCCTAGTGGGAAGGTTGGTAAACTTTTTTGTTATGTGTCGGAGAATAAATACTTCAGGTTTGTCGGGCCACCTGGTCCTGTGGGAACTCTTGGACTGGCTGGTTTCAGAGTGAAGTGGACAGAGACAACATGTAAATGAATGGGGGTAGCTGTGTTCCAATAAATCTTTGTTTATAAAAAACAGAAATAGGGCCAGAAAAATCTCATTTTTAATGTGTATGGCACCCATAGCCAATCACATAGTAAATGCTTAATAATTAAAAAAAACTGCATACATAAAAGAACAGCAAAACTCTTACCATATGATTACTGTTAACTGTGAGAAAGGAGTTGGGCTGGGGATGTAGCTCGGGGTAGGGGATGTAGCTTAGTGGCACCACACCTGCCTGGCAAGTGCAAGGTCCTAAGATCAATCCCCATTACCAAAAAAAAAAAAAAGAAAGAAAAAAAGAAAGAAAGGAGTTGGCAGCAACAGACTCAGTTTATAGACAGAAAAATAAAACACAAGAAACCTGAGCCCCATGAAGTGGCCAGCAAATATTCTTGTATAATTCAAGCTTCCTGACTATTCCATACTGCATATACTAGGCTCCCTTTTTCCATACACGTTGATACTACTTTATTATTTATTCTAAGGGAAGCTGCTTCTTCCCTTAAGAGAGAGAGATATTAATTTCTGTGGCATCAGATAAGGTTCTCTGTTGCATCAGAAAACCCAGCCCTAACAGACTTAAACAATCAGGGTCTTTGTTGGCTGGTGAAAAGGAAAAGTCTAGATAAAGCTACACTTCCAGGCAAGCTCGACTTAGTGGCTCAGAGCTGCCAAGGACCCATTTTCTCTTGTTCTGCCTGCCATTTGATCTTGCTCATTATCAGACTCCACCCTGAGTGATATCCCTTAGGTTTTCTTCCTTAGAGATGGTGGAGTGAGTAAACGGAGCTCTTCTTCAAACTTCTGCTGGCTTTGGCTGATGAAAACGTACAGCATAGAATGGCTTAACATCTCTCCTGGTGGAGATGTGGGATCAGCACAGAATGTGGAATGAGACAAGTCAGTTGAATACTAGGCAGTGTTGAAAACTGGAAGCAATGCAGAGAGTAGATGCTTTCTAGGGACAGGAGCAAAGGGGTGCAAAAGTCTAGCAGTTTTAAAAACTCTTTTAGCATCACTGGAGAAGGAAGGAGGAAATAAAGGCAGATGGGTGGGTAGACAAGGACCAAGCCCTGAAGTCACTTCTCTTTATGCATGCAGCACTGTTGGAGAATTTTCAGTAGTGATGTGTTGAGATCAGATTTGACTATTAGAAAAAAATTACACCGACAACTTTGTGGAAGGAGGTTCTGGGAAGAGAGCAATGAATTTGATACAATCAGCTAAAGGTAGGATAATGATGGCTGGTAATGGAGAAGAGTGAAAGAAGAAGAGAGCCACTTAGAACTGGACACAAGCAAAAGTGAAGCAACCAGAACGGCTTGTGGGTCTCAGCTGCAGGGAGCGTGTTGGGTCCTTAAACCCTTGTAGGTAAATAAACATATCCCTGTGTTTGTTTTTGAGGGCATATGTGTGGGAGTCTGGAGTGTCATGTGTATTTTTCCGATAGGTGGGTGAGGTGAACCCAAATCGAGGTGACAGTCCCGACACAGTATCCCAGTCCCTCAAGTCAGGGGAGAGCTTATACAAAGGTTTGCTACCAATTTGCACCCGCAATCTGACAGTTTCTGGGGTGAAGGGAAGAGGCAGTGACCAAATGGAATTCACATGGGCTGCTGATCCTCCTCAAATCCACTGGATGGAACCCTCTTGGGTCTCTCTATCTATTCTCCTTTGGCTTCTCTCACTCATGGGACATATTCTAAAGCATCAAAGCCGCAGGGAGCCCTGAAGGGGGAAAAAATGCTTCTCTTTTGCTTTTGTAAAGATCCTGGTAGGGGGAGTCGCCATACGCAAATGCCTTGAGTATCCTGGGGTTGAGGGCAGAGCACTGTGTCTGTGTCTCAGCCAGGCCTCACACAGAGCATTTGCCAAACCTTCACAGGGAGGAGGGGCTGGAAGGGGCTTCACCATTGTCCTGGCCGTGGGAACATATGTCAGGAATATCGTCGCAGCCCCTGCACAGCGCTCCCAGCATTGCTTTCTGGGCCACATGGAATTGGGGACGGTAGCAGCCAGTGGCGAGCCTGCCAGTGGCCATGGGAAAGTTGATGGATGTTCAGAAACAGCAGTGTGGGTGGTTGTTGTGGTTTATACAGCTCCGTCCCTGTCTTCATTGTCTCAGCTCAGCATGCCTTCAAAAGCCTGGGTGGAAAGAACTGTAGACGGATGGAGAACTGAGCATATGTTTTAATAAAGATGGGTTCATATGTTATGGTAATTGTACAAATTTATGGGGTGCTGTGTGAAAATTGATACACAAAGACAATATGTAATGATAAATCAGGGCAGTTCACATTTCCATCTCCTTAAATATATCTTTAAAAATTTTATCAATCTGTAATAATTGTACATATTGATGGGGCACAGTGTGAAATTTCATTGCATGGATACAACAGGCACTGATCAAAAAGGTCAATGAACATTCACATCTCCCTGTCATTCCTTGTCTTTCACTCTTCTAGTTACTCACGAAATACTCAGGTTATCGTGCCCTTGGTCAGCCCCTCAATGTTCTGGAGAACTCTTGAACTTATTCCTTCAATTTAACTGTGTTGGGTTCTTGTCCTCTTGATTGGTTCTTTCTTTAGAAAATGCTTGGAGATTATGCTTACAAGCATTCTAAGTTGGTATGCAGCACCATGTAGTTCTCATGAGAGACCCAGGGAGGTTGTGAAAGCTTCAGCATGAGTGAGTTGCTTCTCAGGTAGAACCAGTCCCTGAATCGTAGGTGAGTCTGTAATGCAGCTTTTGGCACCAAGACAACCTGGCAACATAGCTGTGTGTGGCAGAGAAGGCATCTTTTCAGTCTTTCTTCTCTGGACCCCTTTCCATCATTCCTGTCTATTCAAATGCTCTCTCCTGATGTTATGGCAAAAGAAGAGATCCCGGGGACTTAGTTTTAGGCAAAAATGAACAAATGAAGCAATAAGGAGGATTCTACCCAATCTGATCCCACAGCCTGTGATGAGTGTTCACGGTGCACTGGGCACTGTTGCGGATGAAGGTCAAGGGAAGTGTGTTACTGAACCAGATGCAATCCATATACGTGCCCAAGGTACTCAAGTTCTGAAGGGGAAGGCTTCTTAGGAAAGATGTAGGTGAGATAGACAACTAGAAGAAGTATTCTTACTGGAAACACAGGGGCTGGACATATCAGGAAAGGCCTAACAGAGACATTAAAGGAGAGAGAGCCATTGAAGATGGCAATGGTGAGACAGGTGAGGGTCTGGAATGTCTTCTAGGAAATGGCCCCACAGAAGCTCAACTTCGAAGGCTGACTAGGTCGACAGCCATGGCGGATGAGCTGGCTCCCTCAGGGTGTTGGAACACGGGACAGTTGCTCTTTCTTAGTAGTTTAATGCCGGCTCAACACGTGCCCGAGTCTGAGGCTGGCATGAAAGGGATTATTCCCTGCTGTCTCCCACATCACCTTTGTTGTTGTCCTGGCATTTGTCGTCCTGGTGGTTCTCCATGAGGGTGGGGGAGTTTCCACAGGAACAGCCAGAACACAGAGGCGTCTGACCTCCTGCACTAGCGTGGCTAGGCCAGGAAAGGAGAAGAGTGGAGTCTTCCTGGTCTGCTTCTTCTTGGTTAATATCTATTGCATCCTTCCTTGAACACCGTGGGAACCCCCCGATCAAAGCAATGTGTAGTCACATGGGGGAGATACTGACATTGTTTTGTTGGCTTAAAATATGAAACTGATGTTTTTTGGAGCCCCTGAATTGCTGAAATCATCCATCTAGCAAAGCAGTTTTCTTTGGCTGCTACTCTGTGCAAGCCATGGTAAAGAATGCATCTTCACGGGTTCTTGTTTTGTGTACTTTTGGACATGCATTTCTGAAATTTTGAGTAATTGATCACTCACCTATTTCATTTTGACTCAGGGACTGGTTTTGGAGATGACTCAGAGTGTTACAAAGCATTTTTAGAGTCAACCAAGCTCATTCTAAAACAGGTGGGAAAACCCTGTAGAAGCAGTGGGATTGGGCAGGGAGTGTGGATGGGGGAGGAAGTTACATTTATTTATTTATTTACCTACCTATTTGACACAGGGTCGCACTATGTAGTTCAGGCCAGCCTTGAACTCACTGTATAGTCCAGGATGACCTCAAACTTGTGGCAATCCTCCTACCTGAGCCTCCCAAGTGCTGGGTTCACCAGTGTGGACCACCCTGACTGGCTCATTTATTGAATAACTTTATTCACTGTTCACAAGGTTCTGCTTGGTATTTTAAGGCAGAATCCTAGCAGTCTTAAAGATGTCCTTAAAGAGTGCACACTTATAATCCTAGCACTCTGGGAGGCTCAGGCAGGAGGGTTGCAGGTTTGAGTTCAACCTGGGCCATTTACAAAGACCCTGTCTCAAAATTCAAAATAAAAAAAGGTTTGGAAAGGTAGCTCCATGGGAAGTTCTGGGTTCAATCCCCAGTATTGCAAGGAATAAAAAATGATGTCCTGGGTGAATAGGTGGTATTCCTATATAATGATGAAGAAACCAAGACTGAGAGGTGAAGTACCTCCCTCTTAGCCTCACATAATCAGCAGTGATGTATGATTCACTGGCATGAATCCAGGGCTTGTTCCTTTTGCTCAGCTGCTCCTGGCAAGTGAGCGCTGCTCTATCAGAAAGCAAACAATGCTGTTCTTTCAGTGTGCTGATACCAGGAAGGGAGAAAGTGCAAACAGCTCTACTCTGCCAGCTCCCTTGCTGCTGCTGTTGCCGCTGCTGGGAGAGCAAAGCTATTTAAACTGTTTTGACCACCAATGTAATAAGAAATATATTTTCTAGTACAGATTTGCATAAAACCTCAAGAGTTTTATGAAGCAATTCTTACAATGACTAAGCAGCAAGTGCTCTGGACTTCTACTGAAGTAATTTGTTTATTACTCATTTTAAAAGGGGCTGGTCCCAAATTGGGCTCTCAAATTAGGGTGGTTTGCAGACTAAAAAGACTCTTGGGGTATAACAAATTGATTGTCTGTAACTCTGAACAAAGGAATTTTGATAACCTCTGTTGCATATATCTCTCTGGCTAAACACCCAAAATTACTTTTTTATGGCCCATTTTTCCCATAAAGACCATCTAGTTTTTCTATAAAATAAAAGGATAATACTAGATGATTCTCCAAGAGCCTTGCACCTGACTTGTGTGTGGGATGACACCCCATGCTAGAGCGTATTCTGCACCTTCTCATTGGCAAAGGACTCTCGCCCAGCCCAAGCTCATGGGGCAGAGGTGGGAAGGATAAGATATGAATGTCAGGAAACTGATCATTCTCTTGGACTAGGTGAGGTATACAGATTTTCCTTTATGACTCCTCTTGCAAATAAATGAAATTTTGAAACAGACTTCTTGTATTTAAACTACTGAAATTCCTACTATAGTTGGTCATCTCTGGTGCCATCCACACGTTGTTGAAGGGGTTGGAGAGAGACATGTGGTGTTTGATGACATGAATGCTATGGTTCCATCTATGCTCAGAGGCTCCCATCTGCAAAACATGCTTCCTGCACTTTCAGGTGGAGCAATCTTTTTGGGAACTGTGGGTGCTGTGATGTACTGAACGACATGAACAATTATGCTATTAGCTGTGAAGATGAGTGAGAACAAAGCTGTTTGTCCTGACTGCAAAAGACGGCAGGCCTCTTCTAGACACAAGGGGGACTGTAACAAATCGCTGCACTTTACCTGACTACAGAAATTATTGCTCTTTTTTTGACCAATAAATCAATTAGTTATCGATTTTCTATTATATGCAAGTGTTATGCTAGGCTTTTGCGGAGGCAGAAAACAAAGAAGATGTGCTCTCTGCACCGCAGGTGCTTATAATTGCTCTTCAGGAGAACAGAAATGAAAAAACAATGTGGAAACTCCACAGTGGCATGTAGTGTAGTGTTCAGTGGCAGGCTACTGACCATGAGAGAAAAAGTACACAGTTGCACTGGCCAGAGAAGCACAGACTCACCTCATGATCTGGGAAGAAAGTCTGTTGAAAATTAGAGGAGTGAGGAGGCAGCACAAGTCAGCCTGTAGGAGAACCTGACTCTTAGCTTGTGACCCTTGGGGTTTATTTGCATTTCTTCATGGTACTGTCTAGACTCAGGGCTCAGGACATCCTGTAACCTATAGCACTTACTTCAGGACTTGGTAAGGAACTTAATTGGAGGATTGAGACTTCCTTCCATGTCTTGGTGTCTTTGTCTGTTCAGGAGACCATAACACTAAAGCTGAAACAACAGAAATTTTACTTTTCCCAGTTCTCAAGGCTGGGAAGTCCAAGGACAAGTAGTCATCGAGCTAGGTTTCACTCTGAGGCCTCTTATCTTGGCATGTGGGCTGCTGCCATCTCACCGGGTGCTCACATGGCCTCTTTGAGGGAGCTCTGGTCTCTCTTCTTACAATAGCATTAACTCCATCACAAGCACCCCACCCTTATGACCTTTTCTAAACCTCCTAGAGGACCCCCTTCCAAACACCATCACACTGGGGGCTTGGGCTTTTGGGGTTACAGTCAGCCTGTGACAGTTGGTATGCTGCAATAAAGGAAGAAAAGGCTCAGCATTCCAGAACATCCACGACCTCAGCCCCCCGTTGAGCCTTGCTCTAGAGAGAAGGCGAGCAAGATACTCTCCCCCATCATTTGGCTTCTCATTCTTCCAGTGCCACACTGATTTCAACGTCTTTGTCGTGTTTGAAATTACGTCTCGAAAATTTAAACCCGAAGTCTGCCATGGTGCCATGTACCAATTTGTGTATGAAGTATTAAAGTCTCTTGGATGCATGTATTTGAGAAGCATATTCCCTGTTATACAAATCATACAACTTACCCATCAGCTACCATAACTAACAGAACATGTGAGGAATAGAGAAGCCATTGCTTAGTTCCTTCTCAACCGACGACTTTAATGGTACTCTCTCCCCCCTTTGGTTCTTTCATTGAGTATTTTCCATATGGTACAGTTTGGATATTAAGTGTTCTCCAACCACATGTGCTATTGAGAAGTGGTGGTGACTTTAACAGGTAGGGCCTGGGAGAAGGTCTTTAGGGCACAGAGGGTGTGTGCCCAACGGGTTCCATGGACTACTAATCTCTCTTCTTCCTGCCTGTGATGCTTCTGCCATGATGTGTTACCTCACCACGGGCCCAGGAGCAGCAGGGCCGACCAATGTAACCCACTGGCCCTCCAAATCTGTGAGCTGGAACAAACCTCTTCACTTTATAAATTGAGTAGCTCAGGTATTTGTTGTAGGACGGAGGGCTGACTGACAGACTGTCATCTCCCTCCCACTTGACCTTTCACCTCTGTTTTTCTTCCTTGCTGGAGAAGATGTAAACGAGGTGGCGGTCAGTTGTTTATTTTTCTGCCTTTCTACCAGGTTGAATGAGACTTGGTGTGCTCATTTAAGATAAGTTGGGCTGGGCTGTAGTTAAACGTTGGTAGACAATGTTCCAAGGGAAACAGTGCGGGGATTTGGACAGGGCGCACGCCCTCTGAGTCAGCCTTAGGGGAGGCCTTTGTTGTGGTGCTGGCATGGCGGTACTTGGGCTGTGGAGAAAGAATCCTACAACCTCAGCAACTGGGCTTCTGAGGCTCTTCCTCCAAGTATAAAGCAGCCTACTGGGAAAGTTCCATTTGGGATATCTCCATTTTTCAACATCAGTCCTTCTTAGCAACACTAAGTTTCTTAAAATAGATTGCTAAAGTAGCTCGGGAAAGTATGTTTGTCTGACTGGATGAACCGACTTAGGTCCCGCCACTTTGGATAGTACTAAGGGCATTCATATGAGTATAGGGGATCACAGAGATTGTAAATGGAGGGACCTTAGGGAATATCTAGTTCAGTGACTGAAAACCTTTTAGCGACAGGTGTCCAAACTGCAACCCCAAATCCACTTATTTATCGCAAAGTGCCAACACTGCAGTTAAACCTGAATACTGCAGTTTTAATTTAGAAAAAGCATCTTATACAACACTTGACATCATTGCAGAGAGGGCAAAAATGGTGGTACAAAAAGAGTTTCTGAAGCCCCTCTTCTTCCATACCCTGGCTTCATCTCTTCACACATGACTCTTCCATGATTCGTGGTTTTGTTGACTATGCCCCAGCTTGGAAAGTATTTTTTGTTGTTGTTGAGATAGGCTTCCTTTGAGGATTGCCTGACATTATTATAGTTAAATGTTGGGAATGTGATAAGCTCATAATTTAATAGGCTGGGTTGGCATTGATTTCACATCTTTAGCAGAGCTGGTAGCAGATTGAGAGGTGATAAATCAAGCTTAGAAAATGTGCTGGGATAAAAATCTCTTAAGTCAACAAAAAGAATGCTGTGTTTTGTTCAGGCCTCTGAATTGTGCTGTGAACTCATTCTGGAGTCAAAGTGAAACACTGGCCATTTCAAGAGTTATATGAAGAAGTACTCTTTCTTCGGGCCTTGTGATGTGTACTGTGGAGGAGAAAGTGTGGTGTGAGGCAGGAGAAAGGAGGGCAGCGCAGCCAGAAAGGAAATGACACTTACTATTGATGTCCGGAAATGATTCCTTCCTTCTCTTCCGCTTTTCTCCCCTCCCCGTCCCCTCCTCTCTTCTCTTCCCCTCTCTTCTCCCCTTCTGCCTCCCCTGCTACTTCCTCCTCCTCCTTCCTCCCCGGCTCTCTTTTACTCTCATAGATCACAGTGTAAAAATTCAGTCTGTGACAAATCCAAGAAGAATAACTTCAAATCTTCCTATTAGATTGTAAAAGTGCTGGATTTGTTGTTTAGGAAAATACTGAATTGGCCATTTTGTTAAAAAAAAAAAAAAAAGTTTTACTTCCTGGAATGGTCCAGGGGAGGAGGTAGAGATCAAATGCCAGCTTGCTTTGCATAGTGTCATGGAAGGAATGCAAATTGTCTTGACTTTTAGCTTGGTAATAGGGTGGGAAGGCCCAAGACTGTGAGGAGGAAGTATGGTAGAAGTGTCTGATTGAGGGCTGGGGATGTAGCTCCTTGGTAGAATGCTTGGCTAGCATGTGCAAGGTCCCGGGTTCCATCCCCAGCACTGCACACAGACACACACACATGAAAGAAGAGTCTAGCCGGATACTGTGTGAACCTCCTGTGGCAATGCTGAGAAACTTCAAAAACAAGGATGCTTTCACCTTTATGGTAAATTTTTCTGTATGAGCTGTACTCCTCTCAAACCCAAGAGTTGAATAAAAGCTTGTCCTGCGAGGTGCGGTGACTGTTGCTTTGGGTGTTGAAAGGAGGTGGAAAGGTGCTGGCCAAGAGTGGGGATGAGGTGAAGAGACAGGTTAGCAATGGGAAGAAGGATTGAAAGCTCAGCCCCAGCCAGAGGCCACACCCTCTACACAGCTTCACTACCGGAGAGGGCACAGGTTATAATACAGTGGTAAACTACAGGAAAAGGGTGACCCCTGGAAGATTTGGGGACCCATGGATTATGTAAATGGGACATACACACATGCAACTATGTGTGAGATGATCTAGCCTCATGTGGTATACTGGATGAGACTGAGTTCTCCCAAACCATCTCAGTCCAGCTTTGTACACTAAAACCCCAGCTGAGCTTTAAAATATGTATGCTTTGTTCTGTCCACCCCCAGACACACAGCTGTGTAGACAAGATCTGCATATAATTCCCAATGTGCAGGTAAATTATTTCAGGAATTCCAAAGTATTTAAGGTCTAAAGTTGAACCTAGGATATGGCAGGTTACTTTGGGTCATTCTCAGCTTAGGGCATAGTTTGTGTTAAATATTTAAGGGCACCCATGAGAGAGTAAGTGAGGGGCTAAGCCAGACCTTTTGTCTTCATCCGCCTTCCTATCCTCAGTGGTGAGGTCACCAGTGCTGACTGTGGATATGATTTGCCTGTGGTCTCCCAGGGGAGCCTGAGGGCCTGGGCATGAGGTGTGGGGTATGAGGCCTTTCCTGTGGAAACATAGTTCTGTCCTTTAAGTTCTTCTCTCCCAGCTCCCAGAAAGCACTGCGTGTGCTTGGACTCCTGGGAGACAGGAATCTTGTTTAGGCCTGAACTCTGTCCTCCAACAGCTCTGGACTTAGGGCATTTTCCTCCTTTTACCTGTTGGATGGAGACACACTGTCAACTATAAATTAGTTACAAGGGGTAAAGTATTGCTGTTAAGTTCTTTTTTGTGTTAGTGTGTGTTTGTGACACATAATAGTTATATTTGCTTTGGGGGGTGGGTGCACACCCACACACACACAATTTCATGATCATTTTCGGTCCTTTGAATCACTCCCCAACCTCTTTTCCCCATGCCCATCTCCAAAAAGTCTGCCCCCTGTTTTTCTACCATATCACCTTTATGCTAGTCTTTAATTAACTTATACTTTGGGTTTCTCATGATAGAGAAACCATGCAATATTTAACTTTTTGTGTCTGACTTATTTTGCTTAATATTATGGGCTAAGGAACCATTCATTTTCCTGCCGGGGACACGAATTCATTCTTATTTATGCTTGAATAAAATTCCATTCTGTATATACACCTTACCTTCTTTATCCATTCATCTGTTGATGGGCATCTAGGCTGATTCCAGAGCTTAGATATCATAGATTGCAGTACACAAACAGAGGTATACATATATAGTATGATGTCTTTAACTTTTTCAGAAATATACTCAGGAGAGGTACGGCTGGGTCAAATGCAATTTCCATTTTTAGTTTTTTGAGTAATGTCTACATTGATTTTCACAATGGTTGTACCAGTTTACATTCTCATGAACAATGTAGGAGGGTTCCTCTTGTCCCACAATCTTTCCACCATTTGTTTTCTGGGGTGTGTATGTGTGTGTGTGTGTGTGTGTGTGTGTGTGTGTTCTTGATGACAGCTCTTCTGATTGGAGTAAGATAGAATCTCAGAGTTGTTTTGATTTATATTTCCCTAATGAATAAACATGCTGAATATTTTTTTTCTTGTACTTATAGGCCATTTGTACCTCTTTTAGTTTTTCTAGTGTTTATTCACTTATTTGCCCATTTTTGATTGGATCATTTTGGGGAGATTTCTGAGTTCTTTACATATTTTATTTATTTATTTATTTATTTACTTTTTTCTTCATTGAGTTTATTGGTACATTTTAGGTATACAGCACAGTTACGTTCATTATTGGGATCTTGTACCTTTACATGACAGGTCTTGGTTCTCATTTTTTCCCCTTGTCCCTGCCCTCCCTTCACTCCCTCCTCCCCTCCTCATTTATAAACAATTTAATTCCATTTTTTCATTGTCTCCTATTTTTTTCCTTTCCCTTAGTACCTTTCCCCTACCCTTCCCACTTTCCCTACACCTTTAGCCCTTTTCTTCCTGTTTCACATTGTCAATTTCTTTACATTTTAAAAATATTAATCCTTTATCAGAAGAGGAGCTGTCCAATTTTTTTCCATTTTGTGAGTTGTCTCTTCACTCTGTTGAAAGTTTTCTTTGCTGTGCAGAAGCATTATACTTTGATGTAGCCCCATTTTCACTGGTGCATGTGTGCAGTACATAATAATTACATTCCCCATGGGGAACTGGTACAAGAACATAACACATCCCAATTCTCCCTCTTTCCCATCTCATGGTCTTCTTGGTATTATTTCTTATACTATTGAAGTTCTGTTCAAGAAGTCCTTGTTTGTGCCTATGACTTCAAGTATTGCCCCTATGTTATTTTGTAACAATTTCAATGGATTTGTAGCAAATGCAGAGATAGAAAACTTCTGTTTCTATGTATAGGTCTCTGATCCATTTTGATTTGATTTGAGTACAGGGTAAGAGATACGGATCTAGTTTCATTTTCCACACATAGATATCCACATTTCTCACACCTTTTATTAAAAAGGGTGTCTTTTCTCCATCATAGTTTTGGTCCCTTTGTCAAAAAGTCAGAGGGCTGAAAGTGTATGGGGTTATTCCATTCTATTCTATTCTATGGTCTACATTTCTATTTTTGTGTCAGTACCATACTATAGCATTGCAGTGTAAGTTGAAATCAGGAATTGTAATACCCTTCACTTCTGTTAAAGATTGTTTTGGATATTCTGGGACTCTTCCAGGTCCATATAAATGTAGGATTGTTCCATATTAATTTTAGGATGTTTTTCTAGTTCTGTGGAGATCATTGTTGGTATTTTCATAGAGATGGCCTTAAATCTACAGAATGCTTTTGGTAATTTGGCCATTTTGATATTAATTCTGTGTATGCAGGGACAGAGGATGTCTTTCCATTTTTAATGTCTTCTTCAATCTCTTTTTTCAGAGTTCTATGGTTTTTGATGGTTAGGTGGATTCCTTGACATTTAAAATCTTTTTTCAAGCTATCAAGAATAGAATGTTTTCCTGATTTCTTTCTCTGTGGGTTCATTATTGTTGTACAGGAACACTATTGATTTTTTTTGTGTGTGTGCATACTGATCTTGTTTCCTGCCACTTTGCAGAATTTGTTTACCAGCTCTAAGAGTCTTCTAGTGGAGATTTTTGAGTTTACGGTGTACAGGATCATGTCACCCGTAAATAGAGATAATTTAACTTCTTCCTTTCCTTTCCAGTACCTATCCCTTTTATTTCTTTCTCTTGCCTGATTTTTAGAATATTTTCTCAGAATTCTCTGGCTTTCAGTGATGTCTTATAATTTGGCCCTTTCCATTTCTGTTTATATTGATGTGGGTTTTCTCTCTTGATCAGTTTGGCAAAGGGTTTGCCAATCTTATTTATCTGAAAATATGAAACACTTTACAAATTTGAGTGTCATCCTTGTGCAGGGGCCGGGCTAATCTCTATGTTGTTCCAATTTTAGCATGTGTACCTTCTGAGGAGCACTATCATTTAACTCTGTATAACAGGGAGCTGGCTGGGATATTTCAGCTTAATTGTCAACTCGATCGGCTCGAGAAGATTAACAAAGCACACTTCTGAGTGTGTCTGAGTGTGTCCCTGAGGCCTGACCTTGGTGTCTGTGTTCCCTCACCCCTTCCTCTCTGGCACTGTTGCCCTGCGCTGTTTCTTGGTTGCCAGGAACTAAGCATCTTTACTCCCCTGGGCCCTTCTGCCATGGCGTTCCAGCCTTGGACCCAGCTGGCTGTGGACTGAATCCTATGAAACCATGAACTAAGTTAAACTTTTCCTTCTTTAAGTCACAAGTGCGCAAGTGTTGGATATTTTGTTCAGTAATGGGACAAAAGCTGACTAATACAGTATGTATTCAATGCCACACACATTCTGATTGGGAAGTAGCTTGGTTTTTGATGTGTATGTACGTGGCTGAAAGGAGGTAGAACCACTCCAATGTTGAGTAAAGGGTTAGGAAATTTAAAAGTGTGAATGCATAAAAACAAGTGAGGGTAGGGCTGGGGATTTAGCTCAGTGGTTCCACCACCTGCCTCACAACCCAAGTTCAACCCCTGGTACCAAAAAAAAAAAAAAAAAAAAAAAAAAAAAAAAAAAAAAAAAAAAAAAAAAAGGAAAAAAAGCAGCAAAATAAAATAAAACAAAAAACAAATGAGGGACAACTGGTCTTTTTGGATCCCCCCTTTTTTTTTGCTTGCACAGGTTTTACTTTTGAAATTCAGATTGCATAAAACTGGTAGAAAACTGCAAGGTTCCAAAGTCTTGTAGATGTTCAATAAAAAGTTATCATCCTTAGAGAAAGTGTGGATGCTGAGGTGCACAGAGGAGAGGAGGTGCGCAGAGGGTGGCACTCACATAGTGCGGTCAGTTGGCATGGACCAGAGAGAAGGCAGGGAACAAAAGGTGAAAAAGCTGGCTGGGCCTGATGCTAAAATGTATGAGAGATGACTTCTCTGATGAGAAGAGATAGTGACTTGAACGCATCCTTCCCACAGTTGCTCAAATTTGACCATTACAGATTATTTTCCATTGGAAGAAATGCTGTTCTCTCGCTGCAATTCTCACTTAAAGTGCAGACGTTTCTGACAGGGTAGAACGGTGAGCCATCTTTTCCTTTTCCTGTTCCTTTCCTGATGGGGATATCCTGGGTGCGGGTGATGGCACAAGATTGTGTGTGAAGAGAGACGAAACCAGGATGCGGAAAAGGGCTTCAGAAACTCTTTTCACACCGCTGTTTTTGCTTAGGTTTTATTCTCACTGGGAGTTTGCTGAGAGGAGAGGGAATGGGTGCCCCAGGACGTCTGCTGAGATTGGAATGGAGTCAGGGATGATATTAACTAGGGGAGCGGAGAGGGCAAATCCCCAGGATCCAGAGCTGAATGTCACGTCTGTTCCCTCATTGAATGCTGGGCAGCGTGTTGGCTGAACACACTGGAAATACCGCACTTCCTGGCAGAGCACCTCAGGCTTCTGCAGGGAAGAGGCTTTTTCCTCCCCGGCATGTGTAGGCGCTCTGATCTCAGGGGGAAATGTGTGCTAATGGTAATTCATAAATAACCTGTCTCGATTTACAAAAGCTTTTGAAATGCAGGCTGGCTTTTGCCTCTCACGCATTCCTCTCAGGGAGCAAGCTACCATTCAGACTGTAATTAGTAGATGAGGAAGTGAGGATTCAGAGTTGCTTAAGGTTACCTTACCTAGGGAGGCAGGAAGCTGCCTCCCAGCCGTTTCGCAACGCACAGGCCCTGGGTCAGACTGCTGATAGGGACAGTGGGTTGTGTGTGTGTGTGTGTGTGTGTGCCGATCTTACTAGACTATCAGTTTGTTTTCATTTCTCCCACCCTTCTCTGAGAAAATGACACCTATGAGGGCAAATTTGAGGCAGTGTATGTGAAATACTGACTCCTGAGCAGAAAAGATATTGTTCACCAAGAATGCTCGGACTGTTACGCTAATGCGACAGTGTCTGGTGCCATCTGCTGCTTTCTTGAAGTAGGGCGGATGACTGGCTCTCGGGCAGAGAAGGGTGATGGCTGTAGCAGGGTGTTTTTCAGGGAAAGGGTTGAGTTTTCACAAACTGAGGTCTGTGGGTCATTGTACATATTTGGGGAGGGTTGAGAATTTCTTTACAAATTATCTTCATTCACAGATCCTTTAGGATCGGAAGAGAAGAACAGATGTACAAATTCATACCATGCTGTATTATTGATCATGTCCACAAACAGTTGCACATTAGGAGGGCTACAGAGAATGGACAGTAATTAACCCCAGAGGAGAGGCCCCTCTAGTAGTCACTGACCAGGTCTGAGGATAGACATCTGGTTAGCCAATGTCATTAAAATCTTTGAGGAAATACACTGTTAGGAGACTAGAATGAGACAATTTTTGTAAACCATGAAAGGCTATAAGAATTTGAGCTGATGGTTGCACTGGCTCTTGAGTCTGTTCAGTATCAGTGTGTGGTTTTCCTCTGTCTGAGTAGATCTATGGGCTTTTATTTACCAATCAGGCCATTTCTCCTGTTGGAACTGATACAAATGTAGAAAGCACAAGAAAAGAATATTCCTGGGCTTAGTGGATTAATATATAGAAGATGAAGATGGAGTAACAGAGTAGGGAAAAGTATTATATGTGTGAAAAGAGATAACCTGGGCTGTAAGTAGATTACTACTTGTAAGTAGAGAAATCAAGAGAATCAAGGCATGAGAGTTTATATGACTTCCATGATTTCCAAATGAAAAGAATCTGCATCCACCAGGTTCTCTCTCTCCCTCTCTCTCTCTCTTTTTTTTTCTTGTACTGGGGATCAAACTCAGGTCCTTGTGCTTGTGAGGCAGGCGGAGGAACCACTGAGCTCAATCCCTGACCCTCAAGTTCTCCTTTTTGACTAACAGTTACATATAGTAAAAGGAGAATAGTATTTGCATATATAATGACTTTTGAAAAAAAATCATTCCCCAAATTTTTTTCTTTTTATTGGGTTCATTGGTACAATCTAGGTATACAATACAGTTACATTCATTATTGGGATCCTGTACCTTTACATAATAGGTCTTGATTCTCATTTTTTCCCCTTGTCCCTGCCCTCCCTTCACCCTCTCCTCCCCTCCCCATTTACAAACACTTTATTTCCATTTTTTCAGTTTCTCATATTTTTTTCCTCTCCCTTATTACCTTTCCCCCACCCTTCCCACTTTCCCTACACCTTTAGCCCTTTACTTCCTATTTCACATTATTAATTATCTCATTAGGATCCTGTGTACTATTATAGTTTTTCACACCAGAGAAACTATTCGGTATTTCAGTTAAAGACATCTCTGTATGAACATTAAATATAGGGAATCCTAAAATAAAACTAAAAAGGAAAATAAAAGAGAAAAGGCGATGATGTAACATTAAAATAATCCTTAATTCTGGAGATGAAAATGGTCCCTTAACATATTTAAATTGCTTCTTGCTCTTGTAGTCTTATCTTAGTCTTTTTTTTTATTATTTAGAGAATACTTTATTAGTTTCTGTAATCAAACCCATGTAGATATGACCTTACATATTTAATACAGTGCATTACTCCTGTACAAATGGAAAAAACATAAAAATAAAAAATTAACATTTCTAGACCAATATGGCTGTCCATTTCTGTATAATGCCAACTCAACACAGTAAATTGGGATAACTTTTTCCAAAGTTGACAGCACTGTTAAAGTTTCCAAAAATTCAAATTATATATGTATATATATATTTATATTTATATAAAAAGACCAATAATTAGCAGTATGTTATGCATCAATAGCAGCAACAGCTTTTCCAGGTTCTGCAGTCATCTGAACAAAATTATAGCCATTCAGCACACTGCATTAAAAAACAAACAAACAAACAAAAAAGAATAATATCCAGAAAACAGCAAAGTTCTGTTGCTGTTATAGTACCTGGCACCATTTTTTTTTATTAGCATCTTAATCATCATCTGGAAAGAGAACATTCTAGAGTAATATCATTAAATATAGCTCTGATAAAGCACAGTCACTACTATGTATCATAAAGCAGGTACAAGATATTTTACATTCACAGAGGTATGATACAGTACTGTCCTACATCAATAATACTAGAATGTTTTGGTTTGAAATTTGCTTTGTCTGCAAATAAGATTGCTACACCTGCTTTTTTCTGGGCTCCTGTCACATGGGGAATTGTTTTCCATCCTTTCACTTTCAGACCATGGGCTTCTTTTTGCCCTAGGTGTGTTTCTTGTATACAACATATTGTTGGATTTTGCTTCTTATATTTTGCCAGTCTATTTCTCTTGATTGGTGAGTTGAGGCCATTGACATTGATGGTTATAACTGATATTTACTGACTTATTATTGACATGGTATTGGCCTTTTGTTGACTCTTTACTTTTTCACCTTCTCCTTTTAGTTTCTTGCCTTGCCTATTTGATTTGCTCTGTTGGGCCTCATGGTGTTGTTGCCTTCATTGTCTTTTTCTAGGATCTTGTTTAGAATTGGTTGTAGTGCTGGTTTGGTATTCATGTAGTTTCGTAGGTGTTCTTTGTCGTGGAAGTGTCTTATTTCCCCATCCATTTTGAAAGAGAGTTTTGCTGGATACATCAGTCTAGGTTGGAGGTTGTTCTCTTTT